AATATCAGAAACTCACTGCATGCTATGTACTGTAACCCAGCCAGGTGTGTCATAATTTTCAGGGGGACAATCCCTAAAGCTTTAGGAATTAGCTAAGTTATGTATCTACTTTCCCCAAATTTCTCTAATGCTTTCAATTCTATTATTCTTTCCTCACTCTTTCTATTTATTAAGTTAGGCATCTTTATAGTTAACTTTTTACCTTTAATATTTATTAAAATTCCAAACAGTCTTTGGCTAGAAGGAGAAATGTGATGTAAAATTAATAACTAACTTATTTTTCCTTGGCCACATCCTAGTGTCTATGGGAATGTTTAAAACATTTGGTAATTATTATGTATAATCTGTTAACAAATTAATAGATTGTATTCATTTGGACTGTTATGCTTTTGACTTAGAAATAATAAATATTCAGTTAATACAGTTGCCACAACTACAACAAAAAAGAGATTGACGTATATTAAGTTTAATTTTGACTTAGTATTTGTTAATTTAGGAGACAAAGTATCCTCAGTAGGTTAATACAAAATGGAATGCACTAAATATGACAGAATGCTGAATATTTTCAGACTATTGTTGTTACTTGCAAAGATTAAGCTAGAACATGTAGTAACAGTCCTTTAGCCCATTATCACCAGCAATATGTACTAAATAGTAATGTTCATAGTATGATCTACCAGTTGCTGAAATAGAAAATAAATCAGCACTATGCTGGATGCTTTCAAATATACTAATTGTTTTTTCAAAACTACTTAGTGGAAGGGTCAATGTTATGGGTTTTCATTTAATCTTCATAGAACCCCATGACATATTATTATATCTATTTTTGTAAATAGAAAATTCAATCCCAAAAAGGTAAAGTCATTGTTTTAAAAATGTTTCTGCTGAAATACTCATAGAGGAGAGTTAATCTTGGCATGTTGTGGTTCCTAACCCACTGCAGCATACTGGAATTGCAAATTTTCTTAAGTCTCACGATTTATGTAAAAACATCATGTATAATTTGCATTCTGTTCCATAATATCATATTGTTTATTTGAATATAAAAATGTTTCCCAAAAACAATTGAATAAAACTGATTCTGTAGGAAGATTACTATGTTCAGCCTCTGCTTTTTCATATCTCCTGGTATACCATCCATCCCTTATCCAACTTTGAGAAGTATGGGGTTAAATAGCCTAATGGTGAGTGGTGGCATTAGCCTTCAAATGCAGGACTGTTTGATTCCAAAGTTCTTTTGACTTTTCTGCAAAGAAAAATAGGTATTAAAAGTACATTTACAAATAAAGGATTCTTATCTTAGTTTTTTCTTAGATCTGTCATTTCTTTCCATCTCCATTACCAACACCCGAGTCCCAGCTAACCACTTTGTTTACCTTAATTCCTGGAAAATCATCCTAAGTGGTCTCTGTGAATCCAATCTTTCTCCCTTCCAATCCATCATTCACAAGGAAGCCGGAGTGATGTTTCAAAAGTGCACCTCTTATTGTCTTATGCTCAGCTTATTTTGAGATATTCTTCCCTTTTCTTTCCATGCTTTAGCCATCTAGCCTTCTTTCAGTTCCAGAACATACAATACTCCTGTTCTCAGAATCTAATATACGGTTTTCTTTACCTAGAATGTTCTTTGCCATCCAATTCATTCTTTAGAGCTTAGCTGAAACATCATTTCATCACAAATGTTCCACATATATGTATATATAGAGATTTTTTATATGTTTTATATATATATATATAATTGAAATGTTCAGTATCATACCCTATACTGCCTCATGTATTTATCAAAATTGTATTTAATTAATTAATGGTGTAATCAACTAATTACTATCTTCCCTACCAGACCTAACTTCTTTGAGGATACAGACCATCTCATGTCTAATTTTTTTATTTTTTGCTGTATCACTAGGGCCCAGTTCAATGCCTTGAGATAGTATACACTGAAAATTTATTTATTTAGCAGGTAAAGAATGGTTCATGTTCTTTGAATAATAAACCATTATTGAATAATGAACCATTATCATTATCTTTGAATAATAGTTGAGTAACTTTTGGGGGGAATCCATGGACCTCCAGAATTGCGTGTAAAATTGTGTTTGACTGTATATATATCTGAGGAAAAGGTCCCTGGTTTTCATCAGGTTCTCAAAAAGATCTAATTAAGAACCATTAAAATAAATAATAACAACACTAGATCAAATGCAGTGAAAATATAAAAGCTGAGAAGCAATAGTATTACTTAAAGTGGTAGGCCCGTGCTATTTGAAGTGTGGTTTGCAGACAGTGTCAGTTCATTGGAAGCTGTCAAAATGCAAACTCTTAGGCCCTGTCCCAGATTTACTGACTCAGAATCTCTGAAGATAAGTCCCTGGAATTTGCATTTTAATAAACAATTTAGGTGATTCTAATTTATGTGAAACTTTGAGAAGCACTGCTACAGGTGGAAGAAGAATTGTCAGTTTCACTAATTTATATAACCTTGCTGGTTAAGACCCTAATCTAATTTGGCTAATTTAACTTTTAAAGTCTCCTCCATGACAAAAAAAAAAATGTATATTATTTATTGTTTTTTGGTTTGTGGTGGGGGTTTATATAACTTGGCCTGGGAAAAGAGATGGGGACCCCAGACTAGCCACATGAAGACTTGAGGTCATGTTTGCAACAGCAGCAGTTGTAGCAAAGGGAGACTAGATAGACAATAGATCATAGAAAAGAGAGAGAAAAGAGAGCCATAGCATGAATGAATGTTTGCTGGTAGGATATCCAAAGAATTAGTAGGGTGGAACCAAAATGTCTTCAGGAAAGTAGAATCTTCTCCAACTCTACTGCCTCCATCATCTTTGAACTTTCAGAAATAAAAGGTCTAGCCAAGACCTTAGGAACTTTACTATAGTGTATATAGTCTTAAAGTAATTATACATAATTTATATTTGTACAAATAATTACTTTGCTGATGATAATCTAAATTGTCAAGCTCTGTGTAGCATACTGATGTTGGAATCTGAATTGATACATATTTAGTATTTCTTATTAGCATTGTTTATCTTTTCTTTTAATCATCTTAAACTAAAAGCTTTAAGGTATTGAGTTTAAAAATACATGCTTCAAAGATACTTTGACATAAGGAATTTTTTTTAAATACCTGTGACATTCCATTTTTACCATAGCTACATAGGTATATTAAGATAAATATTTTTCTGAAGTGTTTAGAAACTACATTTTTAACAGTTAAATTGAACGTTTTAATTATTATTATTTAATCTTTGCTTTAGGTTCTAGTATAATGCCAGCAGCTGGAACAATGTATCTAACAACTTCAACTGGATATCCTTATACTTACCATAATGGTGTTGCTTATTTTCATACTCCAGAGGTAACTTCTGTCCCACCACCTTGGCCTGTAAGTAATTTCATTTAAAAAGGATTTCTACCTATTACTTATCGATTTTTTAATGTTTGTTTTATTTCTGAAATATTTCAACCACAGATAATTACAAATAATAACACACATCAACTAAATTTAATAGACATCAACATTTTGCAACATTTACTTAAGTTCTTAAAATGGGGAGTAAAGTAAGACAGCTTCAGGTCAGTTCTCCTTACCCCTACTTCCTTACCTTCTTTCCTGTTCAGAAGTAAGCAGAATATCTTTCCTATTCATTTCATATATTTTTACTACAAATATATGTATTCATAAATGACATTTAGTATTGTTTTAGTGGTTTTTAAACACTGTATAAATAATCTGGTTTTTACACCCAGCATTATATTTTTGAGATCAAACCATGTTTGTCTCTTTTTAGATTATATCACATTGATCTTTGTATATGTAGTTCACCTATTTTAATATTTTATAATATTTCATTGTATGAGTGTATTACAATTTTTTATATTCCTCTATTGATGGAAATTTTAAGTTTTTTCTACAAACAAGGTTACATTGAATACCCAGATCTTGTATGTATTATGTGAGGGTTTTTCTGGGTGGGGCAGTGGTTTTCTAAGGTTTTACTTATTATATAAATTATCTCTGAATTTTTTTGAAATATTATGAAAACAGTCACTCATTTTTAAGTTGATATCTGAAGTTTATTATAAGTTTAAATAGTTTAGGAATATTGTATATTGTAGATTTATATATTTTCATCAAAACTTTGTATCTGTAGATTTAGCTTACTTAATAGTGGAAAGTGTCTGCTCTATAACTCAGTTAACAAAGCTGGTCAACCAAATGAAACTACTGAATAAAACTTGCTTTTAGAAAATTCCGACTTTATTTTTAAACTCAAATAAATGAATTAATATGTATCCCTGTGACCATCGGCTAATTTAAGTTTGTTCCCTAGATGAAATAAGTATCATCTCCCCTTTAATACTTCTTATGCAAGCTCTTTCTACTTTGCCTTCTCTCATTTCTCAGGGCATTGCCCTCTTGAGTTGTATATCTGTTTGATGCCCTGTTGGTATTTACATTCCTGAACAAAGCATTATAGCAAGATCCGGAAGGAGTGAGAAATATACCTTTCTTTAGGGAAGGAAAAAGGTGATGGTGAAAGGAGAGATTTTAAAAGAAGAATATATATTACACAGACACAGTCACAGGCAGATCACATCAGAAAGGAGTACATATGAAGTTTAGAATATGAAAATTGGTACTCTTAAAGTTATTCATGCCCATGTATTTATTACTGGAAAATTTTTGTACTTCCCTAATGTACCTTGACCTAGGCTAGGATATATACATAGAATTTCACATTCATGAAATATGCATGTCTTTGACTAGATGTTGCCAAAGAGCTTTTGAAAGTGTACATTCTAGCCAACAGTTTATGACAGCCCCAATTTTCCATAATCTGCCAACCCTTAAAATTACCAGATTTTTAAATTTATGTCAATATTATTTTAAGCAGTAGTATTTTGTTTTACTTTTATTTGCCTAACTTGTAGTAATATTGAACATATTTTCATGTATTTATTGGCCATTCTACTTTCTTCTGTGAACTGCCTGTTCATATCCATTGTCCATTTTTCTGTTGGGGTGATTTGTTTTTATCTTGAGTTCGTTACATGAATTTTGTGGGTTGCCAATATCTTCTTCCAATTTGTGGCTTGTTCATAAGCTCTTTTTGATTTTTTTCTCATGAAAATTTTATGATTTTTTTGGTCTTTTTTAACAAGAATTTTTTCTTCTTTTTTTATTTTTTATTTTTTCTTATACTTTAAGTTCTAGAGTATATGTGTACAACGTGCAGGTCTGATACATAGGTATACATGTGCCATGTTGGTTTGCTGCAAAAACTCATCATTTACATTAGGTATTTCTCCTAATGCTATCCCTCCCCCAGCCTCCCACCCCCCAACAGGCCCTGGGGTGTGATGTTCCCCACCCTGTGTCCCAGTGTTTTCATTGTTCAATTCCCACCTATGAGTGAGAACATGCGGTGTTTGGTTTTCTGTCTTTGTGATAGTTTGCTGAGAATGATAGTTTCCAGCTTCATCCATGTCCCTGCAAAGGACATGAATTCATCCTTTTTTATGGCTGTATAGTATTCCATGGTGTATATGTGCCACATTTTCTTAATCCAGTCTGTCACTGATGGACATTTGGGCTGGTTCTAAGTCTTTGCTATTGTGAATAGTGCCACAATAAATGTATATGTGCATGTGTCTTTATAGTAGCATGATTTATAATTCTTTGGGTATATATGCAGTAATGGGATTGCTGAGTCAAATGGTATTTCTAGTTCTAGATCCTTGAGGAATCGCCACACTGTCTTCCACAATGGTTGAACTAGTTTACACTCCCACCAACAGTGTAAAAACATTCCTATTTCTCCACATCCTCTCCAGCATCTATTGTTTCCTGACTTTTTAATGATCGCCATCCTAACGGGCATGAAGGTATCTCATTGTGGTTTTGATTTGCATTTTCTGATGACCAGTGGTGATGAGTATTTTTTCATGTGTCTGTTGGCTGCATAAATGTCTTCTTTTGAGAAGTGTCTGTTCATATTCTTTGCCCACTTTTTGATGGGATCGTTTGTTTTTTTCTTGTAAATTTGTTTGAGTTTTTCTTTCTTTTTTTCTTTTCTTTTTTCTTGTAAATTTGTAGAATCTAGATATTAGCCCTTTGTCAGATGGGTAGACTGCAAAAATTTTCTCCCATTCTGTACGTTGCCTGTTCATTCTGATGGCAGTTTCTTTTGCTGTGCAGAAGTTCTTTAGTGTAATTATATCCCATTTGTCAATTTTGGCTTTTGTTGCCATTGCTTTCATGTTTTAGTTATGAAGTCCTTGCCCATGCCTATGTCCTGAATGGTATTGCCTAGGTTTTCTTCTAGGGTTTTTATGGTTTTAGGTCTAACATTTAAGTCTTTAATCCATCTTGAATTAATTTTTGTGTAAGGTGTAAGGAAGGGATCCAGTTTCAGCTTTCTACACATGGCTAGCCAGTTTTCCCAGCACCATTTATTAAATAAGGAATCCTTTTCTCATTGCTTGTTTTTGCCAGGTTTGTCAAAGAGCAGATGGTTGTAGATGTATGGTGTTATTTCTGAGGCCTCTGTTCTGTTCCATTGGTCTATATCTCTGTTTTGGCACCAGTACCATGCTGTTTTGGTTACTGTAGCCTTGTAGTATAGTTTGAAGTCAGGTAGCGTGATGCCTCCTGCTTTGTTCTTTTCACTTAGGATTGTCTTGGCAATGCAGGCTCTTTTTTGGTTCCAAATGAACTTTAAAGTAGTTTTCTCCAATTCTGTGAAGAAAGTCTTTAGGAGCTTGATGGGGTTGGCATTGAATCTATAAATTACTTTGGGCAGTGTGGCCATTTTCACAATATTGATTCTTCCTATCCATGAGCATGGAATGTTCTTCCATTTGTTTGTGTCCTCTCATATTTCCTTGAGCAGTGATGTGTAGTTCTCCTTGAAGAGGTCCTTCACATCCCTTGTAAGTTGGATTCCTAGGTAGTTTATTCTCTTTGTAGCAATTGTGAATGGGAGTTCACTCACGATTTGGCTCTCTGTTTGTCTGTTATTGGTGTATAGGAATGCTTGTGATTTTTGCACATTGATTTTGTATCCTGAGACTTTGCTGAAGTTGCTTATCAGCTTAAGGAGCTTTTGGGCTGAGATGATGGGGTTTTCTAAATATACGATCATGTCATCTGCAAACAGGGACAACTTGACTTCCTCTTTTCCTCATCGAATACCCTTTATTTCTTTTCTTGCCTGATTGCCCTGGCCAGAACTTCCAATACTACGTTGAACAAGAGTGGTGAGAGAGGGCTCTATGCAAAAAAACTAGAAAATCTAGAAGAAATGGATAAATTCCTGGACACATACACCCTCCCAAGACTAAACCAGGAAGAATTTGAATCTCTGAATAGACCAATAACAAGATCTGAAATTGAGGCAATAATTAATAGCCTACCAACCAAAAAAAGTCCAGGACCAGACGGATTCACAGCCGAATTCTACCAGAGGTACAAAGAGGAGTTGGTACCATTCCTTCTGAAGCTATTTCAATCAATAGATAAAGAGGGAATGCCCCCTAACTGATTTTGTGAGGCCAGCATCATCCTGATACCAAAGCCTGGCAGAGACACAACAAAAAAAGAGAATTTTAGGCCAATATCCCTGATAAACATCAGTGCAAAAATCCTCAATAAAATACTGGCAAACTGAACCCAGCAGCACATCAAAAAGCTTATCCACTACGATCAAGTCGGTTTCATCCCTGGGATGCAAGGCTAGTTCAACATACGCAAATCAATAAACGTAATCCATCACATAAAGAGAACCAACGACAAACCCCACATGATTAATCTCAATAGAAGCAGAAAAGGCCTTCGACAAAATTCAACAGCCCTTCGTGCTAAAAACTGTCAATAAACTAGGTATTGATGGAATGTATCTCAAAATAATAAGAGCTATTTATGACAAACCCACAGCCAGTATCATACTGGATGGGCAAAATATGGACACATTCCCTTTGAAAACTGGCACAAGATTTTTTCATCTTTTTTAGTTTTTGTTTTTTTTTACTACAAGAATATATTCTATTTTTTTATTTTTAAAGCTATAGTATTGCCACTTTTTACTTCTGGATCTTAAATCTTGAATTTATGTATTGACTAATCCATCTATTTCCTACTATTTTGAAATTAATCTTCTGCCAAATACTAAGTTTCCGTGTGTGTGGGTCTTTTTTCTGCTATTTTGTTCCATTGGTGTATTTGTTCACCTTGCCCAGTTCTAATTATTTTGACTTTATAATGAATCATGAAATCTTAAAGTACATTGTTCTTCTTCAGGAGTCTCTCATCTATCCTTATGTCTTTGTGTGAATAGGTATACATTTTGTAATTCAGCTTGTTTAGTTCAGTGAAAAACCCTTGTTTTTCTACTAGAATTGCATTAAATAGTGTGAATAACTTGGGACATTTCAGTATTTTAAAATAGTGAATCTTCCCATCCATGAGCATGATACATCTCTCCATTTATTTGTCTTATTTTACTTCTATCCATAAAAAAGTTTTCTTTCTCCGTAAAAAAGCTTGACACATCTTTTGTTGAACTTATCCTTAGTAGACTATAGTTTTGTCGCTTTGATGAATGCTGTTTTTTAAATAACATTTCCTAGAAGATTGTAGCTGGTGTATAGTAATGCTCTTGATTTTTCAATATTGATATTCTATCAGTAACCCTGCCAAACTCTCATTTACACAATTATTTATGATTCAGTATACTTCTATTTCTTTCACTTCTTTTTTTCCTGGAGTTTTTGCACTGACAGTGTCTCTGCTACAGTATTGATGTAGTGAACACATCATGACCTTGTTCTTGAAAAGGAGCTTCAGTGATTCACTATTAAGCTTTACATGTATGCACGTATATACATATGCATGTATATATGCACGCATATACATACGCATGTATATATGCACGTATATACATATGTATATAGACACACACACATGCGCATACTTTGTAAGTGGGAAGATACTCTTAACCAGACTTTCTCAATCTTAGCACTGTTGACATTTTGAGCCAGATGATTTCTTTGTTGTGAAGGACTGTCCTGTGCACTGTAGGATGTTTAGAAGTATCCCTAGGCTCCCCATAGTTATGACAATCAAAAATGAATTCCCAACATTGCCGGATGTTCCCTAGAGGACAAAATCACTCATGGTTGAGAATTACTGCCCTAAATCAATTAAGGAAGCTATTTTCTACTATGTTTGCTAAGAGTTTTTAATCATAAAAAGGTATGGAATTTTAACAAATGCATTTTCTGTCTCTGTTGAAATTACCTTTTTTTCCTCCTTTAATCTATTAATATAGCGAATTACATTATTATTTTCTAATGTTAATCTATGATACAGTTTTATTAGCATACCATAGTCTGTGAATTGTACAAAACTATGATACTTTTCCTCAGTTTTGGGGTGCAAACATTAAAACAAAACAATATAAGTTAGATCCCACATTATACATTGAATTTTAATTGCTATATTAGAGCCAGTTTTACTATCTGGCAATATAACTTGCCTGTTTTATTAACAATCTGGTTTTAAGTAATCTGTTTTAGGGCTTACTCTTTCACTTCGAATAATCAAGTGTTACCTCTACTGTTTTTACACACGGATTTTTCGCTTATAAGTTTGTCAAACAATTAACTCATTTAAATGTCAAATTACTAAAATAAAAATAAAATATCTTTGCTTTAATTATAGAGGACTAGAACATTGATTATTTGTAACTAGTGGGAAAATTAGATATGGCTATTCATTCAGTTGTAAATACTATTATAAACAGTAACTGTTTCCTGCTGGTCCTCACAATGGAAACAGGCAGCGTCACACTAAGTCTTGCTGTCATTTTCCTCTAAGTATTCTCTTAGAACTATATTTTCATAATCTTTGGAGGTGGTACATTTCAGACTAAAAGCAACTTTTCTGATGGTTGTTTTAGCATTACTATGGAAATGAAACCACATGGAAGTAGAAATGTTGTGATGATTTTAATAAATAGACTTAGTAGAGTCGGTAATAATATCAATAAGGGGTAGAAAAATAACATTTCTAATAATCATAAACCAGAAGTTGACTGGGTTTAGGTAATAATTTGAGATAAATTTTATTGTGAGCTATTTTAAAGGCTTCTGCCTAATTTTTCTTTTTCCATCCTCTTATAGTCACGTTCTGTATGTAGCTCCCCTGTGATGGTAGCTCAGCCCATTTATCAGCAACCTGCATATCACTACCAGGTAAACATAAATTACAATTAAAATTATCTCTGAAACTTTCAGTCCTTTCTTAGCTAACTTTCATTTATTTCTTTCTCATGCAACTACTTTACTAATTACAAAGAGATACTTCATTAGAGAAATGTGAATCAAAACCACAATGATATACTATCTCACACCAGTCAGAATGGCTATTACTAAAAAGTCAAAAATAGCAGATGCTGGCGAGATTACAGAGAACAGGAACACTTATACACCATTGGTTGCAGTGTAAATTAGTTCAACCATTGTGGAAAGCAGTATGGAGATTTCTCAAAGAACTAAAAGCAGAACTACCATTAGACCCATTACTGGGTATATAGCCAGAGGAATAGAAATAATTCTACCATAAAGACACATGCATGTGAATGTTCATTGCAGCAGTATTCACAATAGCAAAGACATGGAATGCCTATCAATGACAGATAAAGAAAATGTGGTACATATACACCAAGGAATATTTTGCAGCCATAAAAAACAATGAGATCATATCTTTTGCAGGGACATGGATGGAGCTGGAGGCTATTATCCTTAGCAAACTGACACAGGAACAGAAAACCAAATACCACATGTTCTCACTTAGAAGTGTGAGCTAAATGATGAGAACTCATGAACACAAAGAAGGGAACAGTAGACACTGTGGTCTACTTGAGGGTGGAGGGTGGGAGGAGGGAGAAGAGCAGAAAAGATAACTATTGGGTACTGGGCTATGAAATAATTTGTGCAACAAACTCCTGTGACACGAGTTTACCTATGTAACAAACCTTCACATGCATCCCTGAACCTAAAATAAAAGTTTTAAAAATAAATAAAATAAATGATTAGTTAGAAAATAAAAAATAAAAAACAGTTAATGCTTGGTAGATTTTTTTCATTGACAAATGATAATTATACCTATTCATGGGGTATGTAGTGATGTTTTGATACATATAATATGGTGATCAAATCAGAGTAATTAGCATATCCATCATCTCAAACATGAATCATTTATTTGTGTTGGGAGCATTCAATAGCCTCCTTCTAGCTATTTTAAACTATGTATTATTGTTAACTATAGTCATCCTATAGTGGTATAGAACATTAGAACTTATTCCTTCCATCTAGCTGTAATTTTAGGGGTGTTTGGGATTTTTTGTTTATTTTTTTTTTAATTTTTATTTCCACAGGTTTGTGGGGAACAGATAGTGTTTGGTTACATGAGTAAGTTCTTTAATGGTGATTTGTGAGATTTTTGATGCACCCATCACCTGAGCAGTATACACTGAACACAATTTGTAGTCTTTTATCCCTTACCCCCTTCCCGCCCCTTCTCCCTAAGTCCTCAAAGTCCATTGTATCATTCCTATGCCTTCTCATCCTCATAACTTAGCTCCCACTTATGAGTGAGAACATAGGATGTTTGGTTTTCCATTCCTGAGGTAGCTGTAATTTTGTATCCTTTCACAAATCTCTCCCTATTCCTCCTTTCCCTCTATCCTTCTCAGCCCCCGGTATTCTTTTTACTTCTATGAGATCAATTTATTTTTATTTATTTATTTTTTGTAGCACATGGTACTCTTTATTGTGACGCTCAGTGGAAAACATCTGTAAACCGGCTTACTGTAGTGATGACAGTTGCAACTCATGCTAAGGCACTTTTATCATATAAAAAAGGAATTAGGGTAGGAGTTACATTCATTTCTTTTTGACAGCAATGGGACCTGAATTCAGAGCTTTGTAGGCATATGAAACTTTTACATCACTTCATGATTTGAGAGTTTGTTTCCTTTAACAACAACAACAAAAAAATGCCTTCTTGCCATATGTAAGTCTAAATGCTGCATATACAAAAACAGGAATACAAGTTGAATTGAGCAACTAGTGTAGACCAGCAGAGGATAAGCTACTCTCTTGTAAACATTGTTTGAAAGGCAGTTGAAAAGACTTGGAATTTTATCACTTATTACAAGAAAGAGGGGGAAAATAAAACTTTTTTATTTCAAAAATATCTGTGCAGGTGACAGATTTTTGCAATCAGTGTTTTTTGGCTTCCACATATGCATGAGAACATGTGTTGTTTAACTTTCTGTTCCTCGCTTATTTCATTTAACATAATGACCTCCAGTTCCATCCATGCTGCCATGAATGATAGGATTTTATTCTTTTTTATAGCCAAATAGTATTCTGTCGTGTATATATATACCACATTTTCTTTATTCATCTGTTGTTGGACACCTAGGTTGATTTCATATTTTGGCTATTGTGAATAATGCTGTAATAAACATGGGGGTGCAGATGTCTCTCTGCATCAATGATTTCCTTTTCTCCAAATAAATTCCCCATAGTGGGATTACCAGATCATATGGTAGTTCTACTTGTAGTTTTTTCAGGGACCTCCATACTGTTCTCCACAGTGGTTATACTAGTTTGCATTCCTACTAACAATGTAGAAGAGTTTCCTTTTCTCTACATCCTCACCAGCCTTTGTTATGTTCTCTTTTTGACAATAACCATCCTAACTGGGGTAGATAATACCTCATTGTGGTTTTGACTTACAGTTTCCTGATAATTAGTGATGTTGATCATTTTTTCAAATATTTGTTAGCCATTTCTTTGTCTTCTTTTGAGAAATGTCTATTCAGATCTTTTCCCATTTTTAATCAGTTTATTTTTTGTTTATTTTGCTGTTGTTTATTTTGTTTATCCTTGTATATTTGGATATTAATTCTGTGTCAGATAGGTAGTTTACAGATGTTTTCTACCATTCAACAGGTTGTCTCTTCATTCTGTTGATTGTTTTCTTCACTGTGCAGGAACTTTTTAGTTTAATGTAATCAAACTGATGGGATGAATTAGGGAGAATTCCCTCTGCTTCGATTTTTTGGAATAGTTTGGGAAGACCTGGTACTCTTACCTAAAGGTTTGGTAGAATTCAGCCATGTAGTTCTGGACTTTTCTTTGTTGGAAGACGTTTTAATTACTGATTCAATCTTGTTACTTAAATTTGTTTCTTCAGGTTTTCTTTTCCTTTTCTTTTTTTTTTTTTTTTTTTTTAAAGACGGAGTCTCCCTCTGTCGCCCAGGCTGGAGTGCAGGCGGCGCAATCTCGGCTCACTGCAAGCTCGGCCTGCCAGGTTCACGCCATTTTCCTGCCTCAGCCTCCCGAGTAGCTGGGACTACAGGCGCCCGCCACCTCGCCCGGCTAATTTTTTATTTTTTTTGGTAGAAACGGGGTTTCACCGTGTTAACCAGGATGGTCTCAATCTCCTGACGTCGTTATCGACCCGCCTCGGCCTCCCAAAGTGCTGGGATTACAGGCATGAGCCACCGCGCTTGGCCTTGTTTCTTAAGGTTTTCGATTTCTTCAATCTTGGTTTAGTCTTGGCAGATTGTGTATGTTCAGGAATTTATCTGTTTCTTCTAGGTTTTCTAATTTATTGGCATATAGTTGTAATAATAGTCTCTACTGATCCTTTGTATTTATGGTATCCATTGTGATGTCTTTTTCATTGCTGATTTTATTTATTTGGATCTACTTTCTTTTTTTTTCTTAGACTAATGGTTTGTCGATTTTATCTTTTTAAAAAGTCAACCTTTTGTTTTGTTAATCTTTTGTATTGTTATGTAGTCTCAACATTGTTTATTTCTGCCCTAATTATTATTATTTCTTTTCTTCTACTAATTTTGGGTTTAGCTTGTTCTTGCTCTTATAACTCTTAGAGGTACATTGTAAGGTGGTTTATTTGAAATATTTCTAATTTTTTGATGTAAGCATTCATTGCTATAAATTTGCCTCTTAATACTGCTACTGTTGTGTCCCATAGGTTTCAGTATATTGTGTTTCTGTTTTCATTCTTAATTTCTTCCTTCACCCACTGGTCATTCAGCAGTATGTTGCTTAATTTCCATGAATTTGTATAGTTTTGAATGTTTTTCTTCTTATTGATGTCTTCTTTTATTCTATTGTGTCAGATGACATACCTGATATAATTTCAGTTTTTTTAAATTTTTTGAGACTTGTTTTGTTTCCTAAAATATGGTAATTCTGGAGAATGTTTTATATGCTGATGAAAAGAAAGTATATTCTACAACTGTTCAGTTAAATGTTCTCTAAATAGCTGTTAGATCTGTTTGGCCTATGGTGCAGTTTAAATCCATGTTTCTTTGTTTTTGGTTTTTTTTTTTGTTTGTTTGTTTTTGTTTTTGTTTTTTGTTTTTTGTTTTGTTTTGAGAAGGAGTCTCACTCTTGTCACCCAGGCTAGAGTGCAATGGCATGATCTTGGATCACTGCAACCTCTGCCTCCCAGGTTCAAGCAATTCTCCTGCCTCAGCCTCCTGAGTAGCTGGGATTACAAGTGCATGCCACCACACCAGGCTAATTTTTGTGTTTTTAGTAGAGATGGGGTTTCACCATGTTGGTCAGGCTGGTCTCAAACTCTTGAACTCATGATCTGCCCACCTTGGCCTCCCAAAGTGCTGGGATTACAGGCCTGAGCCACTGTGCCCAGCCTGTTTATTTTCTTTCTAGATAATCTGTCCAATGCTGAGAGTGGGGTGTTGAAGTCCCCAACCACTATTTTATTGGGGTTTCTCCCTCTCTCTTTAGATCAAATAAGACTTGCTTTATATATCTGGGTGCTTTGTGTTGGGTACATATGTATTTACATTGTTATATTCTCTTGTGGAATTTATCCCTTTATTATTATATAAATGTCCTTCTTTGTCTCTTTTTAAAGCTTTTAACTTGAAGTCGGTTTTGTCTGATATAAGTATAGCTATTCCTGCCTGCTTTGGTTTCCATTTGCATAGAACATGTCTTTCTATCCCTTCACTTTCGGCCTAGGTGTGTCTTTACAGGTAAGGTGAGTTTCTTTTAGGTAGCATTATTTTTTTAATCTATTCACCCAGTCTCTATTTTTTAAATGGAGAATTTAACCCATTTGAATTCAGGGCTGTTATTGACAGGTGAGGACATCCTGTCATTTTATTTATTGTTTTCTGGTTATTTTGCATATCTTTTGTTCCTTGTTCCTTCTCTTTTTGGTGATTTTTTCTGGCTGGGTTCTCTGTAATTATAAGATTTGATTCTTTTCTTCTCTTTGTCCTTTGTGTAATGACTGTCCCAGTGAATTTTATAGTTTTGCATGTTTCATGAGGGTTGTTATCATCGTTTCACTTCCTGATGTAAGACTCCCTTGAATATTTTTTTTGTAAGGCCAATCTAGTGGTGATAAATTCTCTCAGTTTTTGCTTGTCTATGAAAGAGCTGGTTTTTTTTAGAGACGGAGTATAGTGGCATGATCATAGCTCACTGCAGCATCAAACTCGTAAGCTCAAGTAATCCCTCCCACCTTAGCCTGCCACACAGCTGAGACTACAGGCATGTGCCATGCCTGCTAATTTTTTTTAAGAGATAGGGTCTTGCTATGTTGCCCAGGCTGGTCTCAAATTCCTGGGCTCAAGTAATCTTCCTGCCTTAGTCTCCCAAAGCACTGGGATTACAAGTGTGAGCCACCACACCTGGCCATGTAAAAGACTGTATTTCTCCTTCATTTCTAAAAGATAGCTTTACTGGGTCTAATATTCTTGGCTGGCAGGGTTTTTTTCCTTCAGTATTTTGAATGTATCTAAATATATCATCCATTCTCCCCAGTAAGATTTCTGCTAAGAAATCTGCTGTTAGTATAATGGGGATTCCTTTAATTTTGACTTGACACATTTTTCTTGCTGCTTTTAAAATTCTTTCTCTTTGACTTTTAACAATTTGACTATAATGTGCCTCTGAGAGGATCTGTTAGATTGAATCTACTAGGATTCTTTGAGTTCCCCAGACCTGGATATCAATCTCTTCTCCCAAGACTTGGAAAATGTTCTGCTATTATTTCATTAAACGTGTTGTCCTCACATTTTCCCTTCTCTTTTCCTTCTTAAATGCCCATTATATGAATGAATATTTATCCTCTTCATGCTGTCTTATAAATCCTGTAGGTTTTCTTCATTCTTCTTTTTTTTTTTTTTTTTTTTTTTTTTGTCTGCCTGTGTTATTTCAAAAGACCTGTCTTCAGGTTCAGAAATTCTTTCTTCTGCTTGGTCTAGTGTATTGTTGAAGATCTCAGTTGTATTTTTATTTCATTCATTGAATTCTTCAGCTCTAGGGTTTCTGTTGTTTTGTTATGATATCTATCTCTTTGTTAAATTTCTCATTCAAATTATGAGTTGTTTTCCTGATTTTGTTGAATTGTATGTCTGTGTTCTCTTGTATCTCGCTGAATTCCCTTAAAATTATTATTTTGAATTCTTTTTCTGGCAGTATGAAATATATGCAAATATTTCCCTATGATTGGGGTCAGTTACTAGAGAATTACTATTTTTATTGGAGGTAACATGTTTCCTTGATGGTTGATGTGTCCCTACATTGATTTCTACACATCTGGTACAAAAGTCACCTTTTCAAATTTGAAGTAGGTTTCATAGGGGAAGACTTATTTCTGTGAATGGATTTTGGGGTGTTGGTTCAGTGGGGTGTATTGGCTTTGGTTCTAGGTGGACATAGTAGGGTAGTCTCTGTGTAGTCTCTTAAGCTGTAATACTCTCTAGTTGTATTTGCAAGTTTCTCAGTGACCTAGGACAAGAGAGTCTGTGACAATGGTGGTGGGGCTTGGGCTTGCTGGGCTGTTCCTCAGGTCAGGGCTGTGTACGTGAACATGGTAAGTCTGGCTCACTTGGCTTGGGGCCACAGGGCTGTTACTCTGGCTGAGAGCACAGGCATGCAGTTTCTCAGCCAGCCTCGGGGAGTGCCCACCAGAGGCAGCCTGTGGGGCTGTTTCTCGGGTTGGGTATGCAGGCACATGGCTCCTTGGCTGACCTGGGGGTGCATCTGTTGGGGACAACCCATGGGACTGTTTCTCAGGCCGTGGACACAGCTGCATGGCTGCTCAGTTGGCTAGGGACATGTTTGTCAGGGACTGTTTCTCCGGCTCGGGATGCAGGTACACAACTGCTCACCTGGTCCAGGGGGCATGTCTGCTGGGGGTGGCCCACAGGGCTATTTCTCCAGTCTGGGACATAGGCACAAGGTGGATCACCTGGCCTGGAAACGTTTCTGTTAGGGCTGTTCCATAGGCCCAGAATGCAGGCACAGGGCTATTGGTGGGCCTGGGATCATGCCCACTGGAAGCAGCCTGTGGGGCTTCTTCTCAGGCCTTGGACACAGGTTCAAGGCTGCTCAGCTGTCCTGGGGATGTGTCTGCTAGAGGGGTGGGCACAAGGCCAATTCTTAGGCCTGAGGCATGGACACACAGCCACTCCACTCCCCTGGGGACGTTTCTGCCAGTGGCAGTCCCCAGAGCTGTTTCTTGGGCTCTAATTATATGCACAGGATAGGTCAGGGGCTTGTCTGCAGGGCATGAGGCACCTCTGGGCTGTTTCTCAGCCCTGTATGCAGGTGTGTAACCATTCCGTCCCGGCAGCATGTCAGCTGCTACCAGGCTTGAGGACCTCTCCTGCTCAGGGGAGTGCAGCAGTTTGACCAGCTAAAGAGTGGGTTCACCCTGGGCAGGTCAGCCAAATTGTTCCTCTAGCTGGAGGTGAGGGCAACAGAAGGTGGTTTCCGTACTGTACAGAGCCAGAATCACAGCCAATCTTAAGCCTCAGGTTCCATGCTGCTGGGGTTGTGTTCAGCCACTGCTACGGACTTGGCGGAATGAAAATGGAACCCCAGTGCTGGAGACGTGCAATAGCTATTGGCCCCCTAGAAGAGGGAGCACTTCAGAGGCGGCTGTGGCCTCAAGATGCTGTCACACTGTAGCAGCTTGGCTCACAGGGTGGGATTGAGGGGGTGAGGAGTACATACTTTGTACTCCTAATTTGGGGCAACGCAGCCGCGAATTCCCAGCAACTCTTCAAACTGTGAGACTATGGGATTCTCCTGTTGCAAGGAGTATGGGTGTTTGCAGTAGCAATGTAGGCTGGTGGGGATCTTCTGCGTACCTTTTCCCAGCAATAAGAAATTGCAGGACTCCAGGCAGACCCAATCCTAGCAAAAGAGAAGGGGTTGCAGAGGCTGAGTGGCTCCATGCTGTGCTCCTGGATTTGCAATCACCATAGGTGTGTCTCCACTCCCCTGCTGCACTCTAGCACTCTCCCTTTGATGCTCCTATCAAATTGTAGCTGTTTATTCATTGCCTTAGTCCTTTCTTGTGGCGGGGTGGGGAGCCAGTGGAAAATGAATGCCAGGCATCTCTGGTCAGCCATCTTGCTGACATCATGCCTCTCTTTTTTCACGAGGAAACTAAACAATATCATGCAAGAAGATGGACTCTTTGCTTCCTTTTACCAAATGTAATGAGGTCAGTTTTGCTCCTCTGGCTAACATTTAATCTAAAAAGTCTTCAGCAATAATTCCCAAAGTAAGATACAGGTATTGGACTGCAAGCTGGTTTTTTAATGTTAACATATGTCAGTTTCTGGCTATATTATATTTAACATAATTTATATTAAAGTAAATAATATATTGTGGTTTATTATATATGATGACATCCTCTTTCAGTTAACCAGCACTCTTCATTAATTCTAGTGAGAAACTGGGGATAAGTGAACTATAATGACAGACCATTTTGGTCTATAGCGGGGTCATCAGACTATGGCTTGCAGAACAAACTCTAGCAGCAGCCTGCTTTTGTAAATAAAGCATTATTGGAACACAGCCACTTTTGTTTACTTATTGTCTATGGCTGTTTTTGTGCTACAGTAGATGAATTGAGTAGTTGGCAGTTACTCTTCTTTTTCCCCTTATCCCAGCCCTAGGCAACCAGTAATCTACTTACCTGTTTTTCTAGATTTGCCTATTCTGGATATATCCTATAAAAACAATCATACAATATGTGGTCTTTTGTGACTGGCTTCTTTCATTTAGCATAATGATTTCAAGATTTATCTGTGTCATGATAAATGAGACATGGCATGTCTCAGTACTTCATTCTCAAATAATAATATCCCATTGTATGGATACACTGTACCACATTTTGTTTATCCATTCATCAGATGATGGACGCTTGAGTTATTTCTACTTTTTGACTCTTATAAATAATGCTGCGATGGACATTCACATACAAATTTTATGTGAATATATATTGTTATTTCTGTTAGGTCTTGTAACTAGGGTGGAATTGCTGGGTCATATGGTAACTCTGTTTAACCTTTTAAGGAAGTATTTATTTTCCTAAAGGGCTGCACCATTTTACATTCCCACCAGCAGATTATGGGGGTTCTAATTTCTCCACATGCCCATCAACACTTATAATCTACTTTTTTGATTAAAGCCATCCTAGTGGGTATGAAGTGTATTATAGTTGTATTATGGTTTTGATTTGTATTTCCCTGAAGGCTAGTGGTGTCGAGCGTTATTTCTTGTGTTTATTGGCCATATGCATATCTTCTTTGGAGAAAAGTCTATTCATATCATTTACCTATTTTTAAGTTGGGTTACTTGCCTTTTGATTATTAAGTTGTAAGCGTTCTTTATACATTCTTGATATAAGTTCCGTATTTTCTCTCATCCTGTGGGTTGTATTTTCACTTGCACAAAAGTTTTGATGAAATCAAATTTAACTGTTTTTTGTTGTTGCTTTGTTGTTTGTGCTTTTGGAATCATAATTTTACAAACATTTCCTAATTCAAGGTCAAGACATTTACATCTATGTTTTTTTCTAAGAGTTTTATAATTTTAGCTCTTACATTTAAGTCTCTGGTCCATTTTGAGTTAATTTTTGTATATGGCTTTGATTTTTGTGTATGGTGTGAGGGTTCAACTTCATATTTTTGCCTGTAAATATCTAGTTTTAACCCTTGTTTATAATCTGAGTGGGTTTTTCTTTTCTTTTATTTAATTTTAGGCCACCGCACAGTATTTACCAGGACAGTGGCAGTGGAGTGTTCCTCAGGTAAATGTTAACTTTCAATATATAATTTTAAATCTGTCTTTCGTTATATTCTTGTGATGACTGCATGAATATTAAAGTCAGGAGAACTAGATTTGAGACCTTCCTCTATTTATTAACATTCTTTTGGCAGTTTGTTTTCAGTTTCTTCATTTGTAAAAATGTATGTAATGATACTATACCTGTGTAAGTTTCCTTATATGATTTTTGTGAATATCAAATGATAATGCATAAGTGAAAGCATTTTATAAATGTGTACTGTATAAACATGAAAACTTACTCTTTTTTACTATTAGTATTATTTGAAAATTTAGCATTTTTCTAGCTTCACTTGGATTTGGCTTCAGTTTTATTCCATTCCTAAATAAGTATTCTATTTTCCAACTTTTGGTGACAAATAGTACTTCACCAAAAAATTGTTTAATGACATTTTCCCACTTCCTTTAGAAGTCACAGAGCTGAGAGCAGACATTTATGTCAATTTAAATACCATAGGTCACTTTATTACAACCTTTACTGGTGATATTAATATAACCATAATTATTATCTGAATTTATATATGAGGTTCTGAGTCATTAAGAAGTTTTAGTGCTTACCAGTGATAAGATTATTTACATCTACACAACTGGAATTTATAACAGATTAGTTTCTGATCCATTGCTGAGACACTTGTGTGCTATTCCTAAAAAAAAAATTTAGTAAAATATAAAGCAAATACTTCTCTCATCTGTTGGCTAAGTCATTTGGTTTAACAGAAATAAGTAATCGTATTTGAATTAGAAATGTGGTTTTGTGTTTTAGCCTCCTGCCTCTTCTGCTCCCTTCTTATACCTGCAACCTTCTGAGGTTATTTATCAACCAGTGGAAATTGCACAAGATGGTGGATGTGTTCCTCCTCCACTGTCTCTGATGGAAACTTCAGTTCCAGAGGTATGTATTAGTCTTAAAGTAATTGATCTATAACTACCTCATGTTAATATTTATTTCTTTTTCTTTTTTAAATTTGTTCACGACCCTCATTGAAACTGCTTCATCTTCTGTTTTGTTGATTTATTCCAATCTCTTCCCCTTTCTTATATCTAAGAATGCTAACATCTTAGACTTTTTCACTAACTAGTTCTGAACCGTTCCCCAAATCAACCATTCACTCCACTTTGCTAATCTTTGATTTGATCTTTTTGAAATAGTAAAATTCCAAATACTCTGCATTCTCATGTTGCCTGTCAATCTGTATTGTTACTAACATTCTAATAGTCAAAAGCATATAATTAAGATGAAGAAGAAAAAAATCTCTAAAAAAATTCTTCCTACAAAAATGTAAATTAAATTTATAATTACAAATTTTAATATCCTCTTCAGCATCTTTAAATTATATTACTGATCCATTACTTATAGCTTCACCATCTGTGTGCCAGGAACTGTGCATGGTATGTTTTATTTTATATTTTATTTATTTTATATTATTTTAAGTTCCAGTATATATGTGTAGGATGTGCAGGTTTATTACCTAGGTAAACCTGTGCCATGTTGGTTTTCTGCATCTATTAGCCCATCCCCTAGGTGTTAAGCCTGGCATGCATTAGCTATTTTTCCTGATGCTCTCCCTTCCCCAGCCCCCAACAGGTCCCACTGTGTGTTGTTCCCCTCCCTGTGTCCATGTGTTCTCATTGTTCAGCTCCCACTTACAAGTGAGAATGTGCGGTGTTTCGTTTTCTGTTCCTATGTTAGTTTGCTGAGGATAATGGCTTCCAGCTCCTTCCAGCAAAGGACATGATCTCGTTCCTTTTTGTGGCTGCATAGCATTCCATGGTGTATATGTACCATATTTTCTTTATCCAGTCTATCACAGATGAGCGTTTGTGTCGATTCCATGTCTTTGCTATTGTGAATAGTGCTGCAATGAACATATACATGCATGTATCTTTATAGTAAAATGATTTATATTTCTTTAGGTATATACCCAGTAATGGGATTGCTGGGTCAAATGATATTTCTGCCTCTAGGTCTTTGAGGAATCACCACACTGTCTTCAACAATGGTTGAACTAATTTACATTTCCACCAACAGTGTATAAAAGCATTCCTATTTCTCCACAGCCTCACCAGCATCTGTTGTTTCTTGACTTTTTAATAATCGCCATTCTGACTGGTATGAGATGGTATCTCATTGTGGTATTGATTAGCATTTCTCCAATGATCAGTGATGTTGAGCTTTTTTTATGTTTGTTGGCTGGATAAATGTCTTTTTTGAGAAGTGTCTGTTCATGTCCTTTGCCGACTTTTTAACGAGGTTCTTTTTTTTTTCTTGTGAATTTGTTTAAGTTCCTTGTACATTCTGGATGTTGGACTTTTGTCAGATGGATAGATTGCAAAAATTTTCTCCCATTCTGTAGGTTGTCTGTTGACTCTGATGATAATTTATTTTGTTGAGCAGAAGCTCTTTAGTTAATTAAAAACCATTTGTCAATTTTTGCTTTAGTTGCAATTGCTTTTAATGTTTTCATCATGAAGTCTTTGCCTGTGCCTAAGTCCTGAATGAATGGTATTGCCTATATTTTCTTCTATGGTTTGTGTGTGTGTGTGTGTGTGTGTGTGTGTTTGTTTTGGTTTCTTTTTTTTTTTTTTTTTTTTTTTTGAGACGGAGTCTCGCTCCATCACCCAGACTAAAGTGCAATGGCGTGATCTCAGCTCACTGCAACCTCCACCTCCCAGCTTCAAGTGATTCCCCTGCCTCAGCCTCCTGAGTAGCTAGAACTACAGGCACGTGCCACCTCGCCCAGCCAGCTAATTTTTTCTTATTTTTAGTAGAGACGGGGTTTCACCATGTGAGCCAGGATGGTCTCAATCTCCTGACCTTGTGATCTGCCCACCTCGGCCTCCCAAAGTGCTTGGATTACAGGCATGAGCCACCACACCCAGTCCTTCTATGGTTTTGGTAGTTTTGGGTTTTACACTTAAGTCTTTAATCCATCTTGAGTTAATCTTTGTATAAGGTGTAAGGAAGGGGTCCAGTTTCAATTTTCTATATATGGCTACACAGTTTTCCCAGGACCATTTTTTTGTTATTATACTTCGTGATCTGGGATACATATGCAGAACGTGCAGATTTGTTACATAGGTATGCGTGTGCCATGGTGGTTTACTGCACCCATCAACCCATCATCTACATTAGGTATTTCTCCTAATGCTATCCCTCCCCTTGCCTCCCTCCACCAATAGGCCCTGGTGTGTGATGTTCCCCTCCCTATGTCCATGTGTTCTCATTGTTCAACTCCTACTTATGAGTGAGAGCATGCAGTTTGGTTTTCTGTTCCTGTGTTTGCTGAAAATAATGGTTTCCAACTTCATCCATGTCCCTGCAAAGGACATGAATTCATTCTTTTTTATGGCTGCATAGTATTCCATAGTATATGTGTCACATTTTCTTTATCCAGTCTCTCATTGATGGGCATTTGGGTTGGTTCCAAGTCTTTGCTATTGTAAATAGTGCTGCAATAAACATACATGTGCATGTGTCTTTATAGAAGAATGATTTATAAACCTTTTGATATATATCCAGTAATGGGATTGCTGGGTCAAATGGTATTTCTGGTTCTAGATCCTTGAGGAATTGCCACACTGTCTTCCACAATGGTTGAACTAATTTACACTCCCATCAACAGTGTAAAAGCATTCCTATTTCTCCACATCCTCTCCAGCATCTGTTGTTTCCTGACTTTTTAATGATCGCCATGCTAACTGGCATGAGATGGTATCTCATTGTGGTTTTGATTTGCATTTCTCTAATGACCAGTGATGATGAGCTTTTTTTCATACGTTTTTTGGCCACATAAATGTCTTCTTTTGAGAAGTGTCTATTCATATCCTTCACCCACTTTTTGATGGCGTTTTTTTTTCTTGTAAATTTGTTTAAGTTCTGTGTAGATTCTAGATATTAGCCTGTTGTCAGATGGATAGATGGCAAAAATTTTCTCCCATTGTGTAGGTTGCCTGTTCACTCTGATGATAGTTTCTTTTGCTGTGCAGAAGCTCTTTAGTTTAATTAGACACCATTTGTCAATTTTGGCTTTTGTTGCCATTGCTTTTAGTGTTTTAGTCATGCCTCTGTCCTGAATGGTATTACCTAGGTTTTCTTCTATGGTTTTTTGGTTTTAATTCTTACATTTAAGTCATTAATCCATCTTGAGTTAATTTTTGTATAAGGTGTAAGGAAGAGGTCCAGTTTCAGTTTTGTGCATATGGCTAGCCAGTTTTCTCAACATCATTTATTAAACAGGGAAGCATTTCCCCATTGCTTATTTTTGTCAGGTTTGTCAAAGATCATATGGTTGTAGATGTGTGATGTTATTTCTGAGGTCTCTGTTCTGTTCCATTGGTCTATATCTCTGTTTTAGTACCAGTACCATGCTGTTTTGGTTACTGTAGCCTTATAGTATAGTTTGAAGTCAAGTAGCGTAATGCCTCCAGCTTTGTTCTTTCTGCTTAGGATTGTCTTGGCTATACGGTCTCTTTTTTGGTTCCATATGAAATTTAAACTAGTTTTTTCTAATTCTGTGAAGAAAGTCAATGGTAGCTTGACAGGAATAACATTGAATCTATAAATTACTTTGGGCAGTATGACCATTTTCATGATATTGATTCTTCCTACCCATGAGCATGGAATGTTTTTCCATTTGTTTGTGTCCTCTCTTATTTCCTTGAGCAGTGGTTTGTAGTTCTCCTTGAAGAGGTCCTTCACATCCCTTGTAAGTTGGATTCCTAGGTATTTTATTCTCTTTGTGGCAATTATGAATGGGAGTTCACTCACGATTTGGCTCTCTGTTTGTCTGTTATTGGTGTATAGGAATGCTTGTGATTTTGGCACATTGATTTTGTATCTTGAGACTTTGCTGAAGTTGCTTATCAGCTTAAGGAGCTTTTGGGCTGAGATGATGGGGTTTTCTAAATATACAATCATGTCATCTGCAAACAGAGACAATTTGACCTCCTCTTTTCCTAATTGAATACCCTTTATTTCTTTCTCTTGCCTGATTGTCCTGGCCAGAGCATCCAATACTATGTTGAATAGGAGTAATGAGAGAGGGCATCCTTGATTTGTGCCAGTTTTCAAAGGGAATGCTTCCAACTTTTGCTCATTCAGTATGATATTGGCTATGGGTTTGTCATAAATAGCTCTTATTATTTTGAGATATGTTCCGTCAATACCTAGTTTATTAAGTGTTTTTAGCCTGAAATGGTGTTGAATTTTTTTGAAGGCCTTTTCTGCATCTATTGAGACAATTATGTGGTTTTTGTTGTTGGTTCTGTTTATGTGATGGGTTACATTTACTGATTTGCATATGTTGAACCAGCCTTCCATCCCAGGGATGAAACCAACTTGATGGTGCTGGATAAGATATTTGATGTGCTGCTGGATTCAGTTTGCCAGTATTTTATTGAGGATTTTCGCATCAATGTTCATCAGGGATGTTGGCCTGAAATTTTCTTTTTTTGTGTGTTTCTGGCAGGTTTTGGTATTAGGATGACGCTAGCCTCATAAAATGAGTTACGAAGGAGTCCCTCTTTTTCTATTGTTTGGAATAGTTTCAGAAGGAATGGTACTAGCTCCTCTTTGTACCTCTGGTAGAATTTGGCTGTGAATCTGTCCGGTCCTGGATTTTTTGTTTAGTAGGCTAATAATTACTGCCTCAATTTCAGAACTTGTTATTGGTCTATTCAGGGATTTGACTTGTTCCTGGTTTAGTCTTGGGAGGGAGGGTGTATGTGTCTAGGAATTTATCCATTTCTTCCAGATTTTCTAGTTTATTTGTGTAGAGGTGTTTATAGTATTCTCTGATGATAGTTTGTATTTCTGTGGGATCAGTGGTGATATCCCCTTTTTCATTTTTTATTGTATCTATTTGATTCTTCTCCCTTTTCTTCTTTATTAGG